ATATATATATATATATATATATTATTTTATACATATATATATGTATATATATTATTTTATATTAATATATGTATATATATATATTATTTTATATATATATGTATATATATATATATATATGTATAATATGTATATATTCATACAATGAGTTGAATAAATATTTATATATTGATTCAATCCATTTACGAATTTGTCACTATACTATATACCCTCTCTATTTCTATACTATACATATATACTATAATCAGGAATATTACATATAATGTAATAATCAGGATGAATCATGATATACGTATGATATATGATATGAATCATAATACATACATATGATACATGATATGAATCATAAATCATGATTACATATGATATAATCATATGTAATAAACGGAATGAATCACCTAACCATAGATCGTAAAATATTTCTGCTGTTTTTTATACTAAAGGAAAATTTGCAAACAAGAGAAATAGTGTGGTTGGAAAGATGAGCTGAGCATAACATTCATCTCTTTCAACTACATAATTTATTTTTTACACATTTTCTTTTAATATAAGAAACAACACAGGTATTTTAGAACTTAATGTTAAGTAATTCACTCTGTATACGTCTACATGGAATAAAGTTCTGGTGAATGTAGAAAAGAGAAAATAATTTTATTCAATTAAATATTGGCATCACGCATTGGCATTGCTGCAAACATAAGCAGTTACTTTAATTGTATTTGTTCAACAGTATTTCTTCCCGCATGGATATATGTAATTACATATGATTATATAAAGCCATATAAAAACATATTTTGTATATAATTGTACGCAATCATTTTTTTGGGCAAAGGGAGAGAGAGAGAGAGAGGAAAAGGGAGGGGTAGAGAGAGAGAGAGAGAGAGAGAGAGAGGGAGAGGGAGACGGAGAGAACGGGACGAACAGAAATGACGCAGTGACCGGCAAAGTCCGAAGGAGAGAGAGAGAGAGACGGGGAGGAAGCATTCCGGTGGAACGGCGACGGACGGTACACGTCCGTTTCTACGTAGAACATGAGAGGGATATACAGGGAGGAACGGCGGCGCGGTGGAGAAGCGGGCGCGCATCTGCCGCCGCGTTCGCTCGCTCTCTCGCTCGGAGAGAGAACCAACAGAGACAGAAACGGCCGGTTGGTCATCGCGGAGAAACCCGTGAGAGGAAAAATCCTAGGAAGTACGAATAGAGCTCGAAATGCAAAGTACGAAAGAGAGAAGGGATTTACTGTTTTCAAGGAAATTAACACTTTAGTCTAAAGCACCTCGTGCGGTGGCTTCTTTGAAAATTTGAAATGAGCGTGCGAAAGAAACGATGATACAAACGGGAGCAGCAAAGGAAGGAGAGTGATAGATGAAAACCGACGTAACGAAGGGAAAAAGAGACAGATACGTCGTCGATGATGCGGTAATCGGCCTAGCTAAAGAGGATGGTTACGTGGTCGGTGCGTCGGCGCACGAACGGGAAGGAACGCGGCGGCGGAGAGACGGCGGAGACGGACGAAACAGTGACGATGGGCGATGGGAGAGTGGGAGGTACGGTGCAGTGCGTTGCATAGGAAAGCCAGGACACCGGCGCTGCACCCGCCGGCAGTCTCACAATGCACTTTGCCCTGCGCACCGCCGCTGATACGCGATGCATCGCGGCGCACGTGCAACGCGACTCAATGACGAATCTCTCTCTCTCTCTCTCTCTCTCTCTCTCTCTCTCCTGCTCCCCATCTTTCTCACTTTTTCGTCGTGACAACGTCCGGTGACGACAGTGTTGTTATTGTTGTTCCTGTTATTGCGCGGCAGAATCGATACATGAGCGGCCGGTTTCGTGTCGTAGATTAGCGATTGATGCGATTGACATTCGTATTTTCGTAACACGAATGTCTTGGATCCTCCAACGGCAGCGGTTCAATCAGTGATAAACATTTAATTTTTGTCTACGTGAATGTCCGCCGATAAAAAACGGGAGTCACGGACAGCACGTATAAATTTTTGAAACCGTGACGCCGAATGTGCGGGATCCCATCGAGAGAAGATGTATTATCGTGCTAATTTTCAATCCGAGTTTCCAACGGTTCACATCCTGTCGCACCGAAATCCGTCGTCTACGAATAGGCGGATGGTATGTAGAAAATAACTAGCAAGATCGTGGTTCGCTGCGCGTCGATACGCAAGGGTGCGTCCTAAAACGAAACTCTGCTCGTATGTGAGCATCAAGCAACCACCCTGGGACATTGTCCTTTCCCTTCTTTCGTTTCATGCTTGTCCTGCTTAGTCTGCAGAGTCTATAACGCAGACT